ACTACAGACATGCACCACTACACCCGGCTAATTTTTTGATTTATTGTATGGATGAGATCTCCCTATATTGCCCAGGTGGGTCTTGAACCTCTGGGCTCAGGCATTCCTCTCACCTCTGCCTCCCAAAGTGCCGGGATTACAGGCATGAGCCACTGCGCCTGGCCAAATCTGTGCTAGTTTTGATGTCAGATCTCAAACTGCAAAAGTTGTGGTCATAGTGCAGGATAAATGCTTAGTTAAAATGGAAAAGGCATTAAATCTGTGGATGGACGACATGAACAGAAACGTGTTCAAACTAATGGCAGTTGAAAATTTGGTACTGCTCACAGTTTCAGGCATCCTTTGTGGGTTTTGAAATATCTACTCTGAGGATATGGGGGTGACTACTATACCTTGAATATGTGTCAATCCCAGTAAACATTAGTTGTTATCTTTTCTAGGGTGGAAGGAATCTGATATATCGATTTGCTACCACATGATTGATTGGTTTCCTCAAGGGATGCTGTTGGATCAGGGCTTAGCATCAGTCTTTGCTGCTCACCAGTTGGCCATGCAGAAGCAACAGTAGATAAATCTTGGTGAAGGGGAGCCCATTCTATAGCTTCTATCTCTGCCATCATGACTGTTTTATTATTCATGGGCCCTTTGCAGAAGTATTCGAATAGCTAAGTACAGAGATTGGTTGACATCACTGGACAAATTATCCTGCTGTTTGTTTAGTGTCTCTTCAGTGTTGTTCTCTGGTGAGAATTAACCTGTGAAACATCTTCATCTTTTGTACACAATCCTATAAGTCTGTCCTTATAGTGCACCTCTTCCATAAATAATTTCGCTTTGATTTTACAGGCTTCCCTTCTAGACCCCTGACCATTCATTCAAATCATTTGTCACCACCCAGCAATGCATCACCCACTTCTCTCTTCACACATAAAGTGGACTATGTGAGGTATACCTCTCAAACCTCTGCACAGTGGAGGATTTCCCTTTACCACTGCCTTTTTTTTTTTTTTTCTTTTTTTGAGTCAGAGTCTCACGCTGTTGCTCAGGCTGGAGTGCAGTGGCACACTCATGGCCCCTGCAGCCTCTACCTGCTGGGCTCAGGCAATCCTTCCACCTCAGCTTTCCAAGTAACTGGAACTGCAGTTGTACGCCACTATGGCTGGCTAATTTTTCTTGATTTATTGTAGACAAGGTCTTGCCAAGTTGCCCAGGCTGGTCTCGAATCCCTGAACTCAGGCAATCCTCTTGCCTCCGCCTCCCAAAGTGCTGGGATTATATGCATGAGCCACTGTGCCCAGCCACCACTGTCTTTCAAGACAGTCCCTTAGTGGGGCTATAGCACAGCAATAGTTCATTTTCAGTTTGTACCAGTGTACCAACTGAATCAGGTCCATGTTTATTCCTCTTGTTTTACCTTGTCATAGGGAGTGCCCGTATGGCCTATTCTTGTTATCCATTTCTGTTTACTTGGGCCCAATCCCAGTATACCTGATTCTCTTTTATCATGAATTGCTGTTATACTCTCCTGATCTTATGATGGTTAGCTCTGATTGCATGGACCCTTGATGACCAGTCATCAGATGCTCAATCTCTTCCAGGGTCTAGTAATATGCCAAGAGTAATATGCCATACTTTACAGATGAGGTATAATTTTCTGCTGCAGGCAGCATGATCTTGCTCTACAAAACTAAAGTTCTGGGCTGCAACTCTCCTGTGTGTGGGCGACTCTACACACTCACTGTCTTTGTCCTTTAAATTGGTAAGTGGTTAGTTGAGCCTGTCTTCTGTCTTGAATTGGTCAATACTCATAACAACCAACCAGTTTCTTAGTCTTTTTTTTTCTTGGAATTAGGGTTTCACTCTGTTGCCTAGACTGGAGTGAAGTAGCACGATCATGGCTCGCTGTAGCCTCAAACCCCTAGACTGAAATGATCTTCCCACCTCAGCATCTTGAGTAGCTAGAACTACAGGCACATGCCACCATGCCTAGCTAATTTTTGCTGTTTAATTTTTTTTGTAGAGGAGGTCTCACTGTGTTGCACATGCTGGTCTTGAACTTGGGTACAAGTGATCCTCCTGCCTTGGCCTTCCAAAGTGCTGGGATTACAGGCATGAGCCACCATGCCCAGCCTCTGTGGTCTTCATGATTATTTACCCCATATCGCTTGTAGCAGTTGTCTGTTGCTATATACAAACCACTCTAAAATTTAGCAACTTGAAATAGTAACTATTATTGCTTATGAGTTTATGGTTACCTGGGTGGTTCTTACTTGGGCTCAGCTTGACTGATTGTGCCTGGATTTTCTGATTTTGTTCATGCATCTGTGGTCAGTAGATGGGCTTGCTAGGGATTGGCTGGACTAGCATGGCCTTACTCATATGACTGCCTGTTAAATTGATGAGGGTGATTGGACCATATGTCTTTCACTGTTAGCAGACCAGCATAGAATTATTCATATAGTAGTGACAAAGTTCCAGGAGAATGAATGAAAATCTTTAGGTTTAGGATCATAACAGACATACTGTTACTTCTGACACATTGTTTTCAGAAAAGGAAATCACAGAACCAGCCCATTAAGGAATGGAGCAGTAGATTGCACTTATTGATATGAGACTTGGCTATGGGGAGAAGAATAATTTGGGACATTTTTAAACAATTTTTTTGAGGTACAATTTGCATTCTGTGAAATTGAACTGTTTTGGCCAGGCGCTGTGGCTCACACCTATAATCCCAGCACTCTGGGAGGTGGTGGCCAGAGGATTGCCTGAATGAAGGGATTTGAGACCAGCCTAGGCAGCTTGGTGAGACCACATCTCTACAGTTAAATAAAAAAATTAGTTGGGTATCATGGTGCACGCCTGTAGTTCCAGCTACTTGGAAGACTGAGGAGGAAGGATCACCTGAGCCCAGCAAGTCAAGGTTTCAGTAACATGCCACTGCATTACAGCCTGGGTGACAGAGTGAAACTCTGACTCAAAAAAAAATGTTCACCTGTTTTAAGTCTGTAATTAAATGATTTTGTATATTTATTGAGTTGTGTTGCATCATCATAATCTAGTTGCAGAACTTTCCCATCACACCAATAAAAGATCCATTACGTAATCATTCAGCCACATTTCTAAAATAGAGATACTGCCTGAACTGTATCCTCTTCTACTTAGTTCATCCTAATTCAACCCAAACTAAAATCTTAGCCATTGTAACACTATAGGTACTAGAGGTATTACTGTCACCAATATAATTTTTGTTGCCACTGTCAAATTCCAGAATCCTATCCTTAGAGGGTGCTTCTTAGGTCTACTTTTAGTATCAGCTGTTGTAGATTATGTTCCCCAGAAGTAGAGTCTCAAATGCAGATTAGTGTGCAAGTGAATTAATAAGGAAATGCTCCCAGGGAAGACCATGAAGGGAGTGAGAAAAGCAAGATAGTGAAGGGCAGAAAACAGAGCATAAGTGTGCTCTCAAAACTCATGCAAGGTGATGAAGGTTAGGCTTTATCCTGATCCTATGGAAGAAATCTATTTTGTGTCTTCCACCGTAAAGTTGTTCTAATCCAAGGCAAGGGAGCTGGACTTCTATACTCTAGCACCTGGCCTTACTCGTGACTTTGACATTGCAGGCATAGTATATCTAGTAACTTGATGGCAATCCTGTGAAGAAGAGCACTAGGTACTAGCTGTCAGAAACACACCTAAGTTGGTATGAGGGATGGAAGAGAGAATATCTGGGTGGCGCACCTACATTGTTTACTATAGGCTTATTTCATGATGGTTCCCCTAAATTAGCACTTTTAATCTGAACATGAATATTTATTTGGATGGTTTGTCTACTTATGGATTTTAAGTATTTGAGAATGTTACAGGGGAGAAGTGGGACTTGTTTAAGAAATTTTAACTTTGTATTCATGAACTTAAAATACTTTAATCAATAGAAATTGAGATGATGTTATATAGAATATAAGAATATTTTGATTTTTACTTGTTTTACTTTTTAAACCTATAAACAACCAAACTCAAACAGTATATTTATTTATTTTTGGAGTCAGGATCTCACTCTGTCACCTAGGCTGGAGTACAGTGACATGATCATGGCTCACTGCGGCCTCGAGCTCCTGGGCTCAAGTAATCCTCCCTCCTCAGTCTTCCTAGTAGCTGGGGCTACAGGCGTGTGCCGCCTTGCTCAGCTAATTTTTTAGTTATTTTTTGTACAGACAAGATCACACTATGTTGCTTAGGGTGGTCTTGAAATCTTGGGCTCACGTGATCCTACCGCCTCAGCCTCCCAAAGTGGTGGTATTACAGGTATGAGCCACCACACTTGACCCAGCTTTTTTTTTTTTTTTTTTTTGAGTTCAGAGTCTTTGTTGTCCAGACTGGAGTGCAGTGGCACGATCATGGCTACCGCAATCTCGACCTGCTGGGTTCAGGCAATCCTTCTGCCTCAGCCTCCTGAGTAGCTGGGACTACAGGCACGTGCCATCACACCTGGCTAATTGTTTTTTGGTATATTGTAGAGATAAGATCTCACCATGTTGCTCAGGCTGGTCACAAACTCCAGGGCTCAGGCATTCTCACCTTGGCCTTCCTAAGTGCTGGGATTAAATGCATGAGTAATCCCATTCAGCACAGTTTACTTTTTAATTGATTCTTTTGGTCTTAGTAGCTGAATCATTTCATTTGGTCTTCCTTTTAGCCAAGAAAATCTATATAATCTTGTTGTCTCTGATTTGACTTTTGTATAAAGAAAATGCTCCTTTGTTTTTGCTTGGTTATCAGTCATGGATTGGATTGTCTCTTGACTTGGTAATGAAAAATTATTTTTATAATTCTCATTTGTTTATATCATTGACCTTTTGAGTCTTTAACAATCTTGTACTTTAACTTTCAGGTATATCAATGAATTTGACATGACATGTAAATATTTTAGTGACAGCTATTTAAAATTAGGAACAATGTCTTTATACACCTATGCTATGTTTACTTAAAATTATTAACTGTAGGAACAACAAGGCTATGACAGATCCCTCAAGAAAGTATTTAACCAGCAGTAGAGAAAAGCAGCTGAGTTTGAAACAGTCAGAAGAGAATCGGACATCAGGTAAGTGGTCTTATCATAAATAAGGTACTCATTTATTACATGATGTATTAGAATAGAAATAACCTAAACCTAAATCTGGATATATATATCTCTATGCTGTTCAGGAATACTATATAATCATACTAGTTATTGGGTACCAATTTGTACCTAGGTAGTTAGCTAAAATATCTTAAGATATTAGAAATACAAGCAAATTTGTATTCTTTTCTTTTTTTCTATTTGATTACCTAGAAGTAAGCTCTTTTTTTGTCAGCGTGCCTTGATCGTAGAATGAATCAAAACAGTAAAGTGGCTGAAATGAAAGTTTATTATTGTTGCTACATATTAGAAGCTTCAGAAGATCTTGAAATTGTTGCCTAAAGCAGTTGTTTAAGCTTACCTAGTACCCTGTTTTTGCTAAAACTAAAAATTAGACTTTTCATGAATTTTTGTTAGATGTTTCCCACACTTATATATTGATCTCATTCTCTGAAATCCTTAGAAAATCAGATATCTGATATTGATTTGAGTATTATGTCAACTTTACATTGAAATAAACTGGCTGGGCATGGTGACTCATGCCTATTCCCAGCTCTTTGGGAGGCCAAGGCAGGAGGATTGCATGAGCCCAGGAATTCAAGACCAGCCTGGACAACATAGCAAGACCTCATCTCTACACAAAATTAAAAGAAAAAATTAGACGGGCATGGTGGCACTTTCCTTTAGTCCCAGCTACTCAGGAGTCTGAGGCAGGAGAATTGCCTGAGCCCAGGAATTTGAGGCTGCAGTGAACTGTGATCATGCCAGTGTACTCCAGCCTGAGTGACAGAGTGAGACCCTGACTCAAAAAAAATTTTTTTTTGAAATAAGCTAAAATATGCCATCATTTTGATAAATTATAGTTTAAGAGAATCCAGTTGATCAAGAATCTAAGAATGTTCTTTTAGTGGTTTAGCAATGTGACATTGACTCCTACAAAAGTATCTCTAATATAAGTCTTATCTCTGAGATAATAATACTTAGAAGATATAAACTCCATTTGTTGGTTTCAAGCTTTTATATTCAGCCTGTAGTTAGAAAACATAAAACTTAAAGATATAATAAGCCTGGCTGGGCACAGTAGCTCATGCCTGTAATCCCAACACTTTGGAAGGCTGAGATGGAAAGATTGCTTGAGCCCAAGAGTTCGAGACTAACCTGGGTAACATAGTAAGATCTTGACTCTTCAAAAAAATCAAAAAGTATCTAAGCATAGTGGTGCGCTCCAGTAGTTCCAGCTACTTAGGAGGCTGAGGCCAGGAGGTCCAGACTGTGGTGAGCCCTGATTGTATCACTGCAGACTAGCCTGGGCTACAGAGTAAGACTCCGACTCACAAAATATATATATGTAATAAACCTTAATAGTGTTGAATTTAAGATGCATCTTACAAAAGTTAATGTGGAAGAGAGGAGAAAAGAAAGTGGGTGGCCGAGTGTAAGAAGATTCATGGAACAAAATGTAGAAGTTTTAAGTGTTTTAAAGTTATAGACTTAATCAGTATAAAAATAAGCCAAGTGTGGTAGTGCACGCCTGTAGTTCCAGCTATTTGAAAGGCTGAGATGGAAGGATCGCCTGAGCCCAACAGATCCAGGCTGTGGTGACTGTGAACATGTCATGCACTCCAGCCTGGGCAACAGAGTGAGACTCCAACTCAAAAAAAAAACGAAAGTAACACAACTAATCATTGGTTAGAGAGAGAACAAGAGTAAGGGTAATGTAAGTGAGAAACTTTTTTTATATAGTAAGGAGTCAACTGATACTGTTTAAAATGAATAAATCAAGAAATAGTAGAAACATTAGCTATTGAGGAAATCAGAAAACCTAAGTTTAAAAACAATCGTAGGGAATTAGAAGCAAAACTTGTAGAGCTTTGGGTCAGGGAACTATTGCTTTTCTATGTGCTTTTCCATAGTATTTGACATTTAAACTGATACTTTTTAAAATGAATAAATCAAGAAATAGTAGAAACATTAGCTATTGAGGAAATCAGAAAACCCAAGTTTTAAAAAATCATTAGGAATTAGAAACACAGCTTGTGGAGCTTTGGGTCAGGGAATTATTACTTTTCTACTATGTATTTTTCCACAGTATTTGACATTTTAACATGCATATCTTGTAGATATTGCAGGTTCAGTTCCAGACCACCTAAATAAAGCTTTTTTTCCCCTTAACGATTTATCTGTAGCATGTGATGCTATTTGGTAGCATTTTATCCACAGAAGTTCTTTCAAAATTGGAGTTAATCCTCTCAAACCTTAGGCCTGGTATAGTGACTCATGCCTGTAACCCCAGCACTGTGGGAGGCCAAGGTAGGAGAATCACTTGAGGCCAAGAGTTGAGATCAACCTGGGCAATATAGTGAGACCCTCATCTCTACAAAAAATGAAAAAAATTAACTGGGAATGGTGGAACACACCTTTAGTCCCAGCTACTCAGGAGACTGAGTTGAGAGGATTACTTGAGCCTAGGAGTTCAAGGCTATTGTTTTCTCAACTACATTTGCGTAATATTGTCAATCTTTTGTTGTCATTTCAACACTATTCACAGTTTTTTCACCAGGAGGAGATTCTATCTAAAGAAACTACTTTCTGGCCAGGCATGGTGGCTCAAGCCTGTAATCCCAGCACTTTGGGAGGCCGAGGTGAGAGGATTACCTGAGCCCATGGGTTTGAGACCAGCCTGGGCAACTTGGTGAGACCTCATCTCTACAATAAAAATCAAAAAAATTAACCAGGCGTGGTAGTGCACGCCTGTAGTTCCGGCTACTTGAAAGGCTGAGGCAGAAGGATCGCTGAACCCAGCAGGTCAACTCTAGGTAGCCGTGAGAACGCCACTGTACTCCAGCCTGGGTGACAGTGAGACTCCAACTCCAAAAAAAAGAAAGAAACCACTTTCTTTGCTCATCCATAGGAATCACCTCCTCATACATTAAGGTTTTATCTTGAGACTGCAGCTATTCAATCACATCTGCTTGCTCTAATTCTAGTTTTCTTGCTATTTCTGCCACATCGGTAATTGCTCTCTTCACTGAAGTCTTGAACCCCTCAAAGTCATCTGTGAAGAGTAGAATCAGCTTTTTGTAAACTGTTAAGGTTGTAAACTGTTTTTATAAACTATTTTGTCCTGCTCCCATGAATCACACATGTTCTTAATGACATCTAGAATAGTGAATCTCTTCCAGAAGATTTTCAACTTACTTTGCCCAGATCCATCAGAGGAATCACTGTCTTAGCCTTGTGAAATGTATATCTTAAATAGTAAGGCTTGAAAGTTGCAGTGACTCCCTGATTCATGAGCTGCAAAATGGATATTGTGTTAGTAGACATGAAAAACAGCATTAATTTCCTTGTACATCTTCATCAGGGCTCTTGGGTGACTAGATGCTTTGTCATTGAGCAGTAGTGTTGGTGAAAATAATCTAAGCAACATGTCAGTAATGGCCTTGAAATATTCAGTAACCCATGCTTTAAACAGAGGTGCTATTATCCAGGCTTTGTTTTTCCGTTTCTAAAGCACAGACAAGTAGTTTTAGCATAAGTCTTAAGGGTCCTAGAATTTTCAGCGTGGTAAATGAGCATTGGCTGGCTTGATCGTCCAGTTGCCAGCTGTATTAACCCCTAACAAGAGAGTCAACCTGTCATTTGAAAGCTAGACATTGTCTTCTCTCTAACTATAAAAGTTCTAGATGTAATCTTCTTCCAATATAAGGCTGATTCATCTACATTAAAAATCTGTTAATTAGCATAGCCACCTCCTCAGTGATCTTAGCTAGATCTTCTAGATAACTTACTGCAGCTTCTACATCAGTACTTGCTGCTTCGCCTTGTACTGTTTGTTTTGTCTCACTCTGTCGCCCAGGCCAGTACAGCCTCGACCTGCTGGGCTCAGGCAGTCCTTCCGCCTCAGCCTTCCAAGTAGCCGGAACTACAGACGCACGCCACCACATCCGGCTAATTTTTGTGATTTATTGTAGAGATGAGGTCTCACCAATTTGCCCAGGCTGGTCTTGAACCCCTGGGCTCAGGCAGTCCTCTCGCCTCGGCCTCTCAAAGTGCTGGGATTACAGGCTGAGCCACCGCGCCCGGCATGTATTGTTTTTACGTTATCAAGATGGTCTTTTGCCTTAAACCTTGTGTATCAGCCTCTGCTAGCTTCAAACTTTTCTTCAGCTTCTTCATCTCTCTCTGCCTTCATAGAATTGAAGAGAGTTAGTTTGTTCCTCTAGATTAGGCTTTGGCTTTTTTTTGTTTTTTTGAGAAAGCCTGATTTATTGAAAGAATAGAAAAGCTCCCAAGTGGGAGGGGACCTGAGAGGGTTGCCCAGGCTTTGGCTTTTAAGGGAGTGATGTGGCTGGTTTAATCCACATCAACAATTAGGCTGTTTCTCTTTGTTATCATTCATGTATTCACTGGAGTAGCACTTTAAATTTCCTTCAAGAACTTTTCCTATGCATTCACAAATTGGCTCTTTGATGCAAAAAGCCTTGCTTTCAGTCTATCTCATCTTTATTTTTTTACTTATTTTTTGAGACAGGATATTCCTCTGTTGCCCAGGCTGAAGTGCAGTGGTACAGTCATAGCTCACTGCAGCCTCCATCCCCTGGGTTTAAGCAATCCTCTTGCCTCAGCCTCCTATGGCTATAGGCATGCACTGGCATGCCCAGCTAATTTTTTAATTTTTTGTAGAGTTTGGGTCTCCCTATGTTGTTCAGACTTTATCTTGGCTTTTGATATGCCTTCCTCACTAGGCTTAATAATTCCTAGTTTTTTTTTTTATTTAAAGTGAAAGATGTGTCACACTTCCTTTCACATAAACACTTGGAGGTCATTGTAGGGTTATTAATTATCCTAATCTCAATATTTTTGTATCTCAGGGAATAGCAAGAGATGGAAGAATGACCATTCAAAACAGAACATACAGCACTTATTAATTAAGTTTGCCATCTTATGGGTGCAGTTTATGGTGCCCCAAAACAATTACAGTAGTAATGCCAAAGATCACTTGATCACCGTAAGAGGTGTAATAATAATGAAAAAGTTTGAAATACTGTGAAAATTACTAAAATGTGACACAGAGACATGAAGTGAACATATACTATTGGAAAAATGGTTGACTTGCTTGATGCAGGGTTGCCACAACTTTCAGTTTATAAATAGTAATAATAATAACAACAATGAAATATCTGTGAAACACAGTAAAACAAAACTCAATAAAATGAGGCATGCCTATATTACTTTGATGAAAAGAATAGGAAAAAAGTTAAATATATACATACCCAATGTGTAATTTTATTATTAAATGAACTTGAATGGTTGATTTAAGAATTAAATTTTTCCTTTGTTTATTTTTTTAAAGGGCTTTTACCTTTGCAGTCATCATCCTTTTATGGTAGCAGAGCTGGATCCAAGGACTACTCTTCCGGTGGCACTAACCTAGACAGGTATGCAATGGTTACTTGACTTGTGAAAAATTTGAGGAACTTTCTTTTCCTGAATGTTGAATGATGGGATAGGCTATGCATTATCCTTTAAGTGATTACCCAAATTTAAAATACAAAATTGATGAGAAACATGGAATCATAACATATTTGCTATAAAGTACTCTAGAAATGGGCTGAGTGCAATGGCTTCTAGTGCTTTGGGAGACTGAGGTAGAAGGATCACTTGAATCCAGGAGTTCAAGACCATGCTGGGCAACATAGCAAGACGCCTTCCCTACAGAAAAAACGTTTTAAAAATTAGCCAGGCGTGGTGGCACATTTGTGGTCCTACCTACTCAGGAGGCTAAGGTAGGAGGATCCCTTGAGCCTAGAGTTTGAGATTCCAGGCAGCTCTGTGCTACTGCATTCCAGCCTGGGTCTAGGAAGATTTGTACTGATGCTACAAATTGTAACTGGCAATATTATCAGATTCTAGATTACCATTTTTTCTGTCATCCCAAGTGGTGATAATATTAAAATCTCTCCTGAGGCATTTTTATATTGCCTTTGTTACCTGTGTATTTGTTAAGCTACTTTTCAAAAATTAGGGAATTTTCTTTAACAAACAAAAGCTGTGTCATATCAGTGAGTATCTTTTATTGTAAATGGCTAGTTGGAAATGTAATTGCTGATTCTATAAACGTAGCAAATTTTATTGGATAAAATATATAAGACAACTGATAAACACTTGTTGAGAAGGTTTGATCATGGAATGTAGTACGGACGGATGATGGCTTTAAATGTAAAAAGGGACGATAATGGTAGTCTATAACCTATGATATATAATGACCTATTAAGTCATATTTTGTTTTTTATTACAATTCAAGGTGATAAAAATATCTCGGTTATTTGTATAAAATGGTTAAGGTGAATGAAGTAAATAATTTTATAGTATATATTTAGGTATATTCAACCTTGGGTGGTATCTCTCAGGGCAAGAGGATTGCCTGAGTCCAGGGGTTCGAGACCAGCCTGAACAACTTGCCAAGACATCATCGCTACAATAAGTCAAAAAATTAGCTAGGCGGCATGCCTTGTAGTGTAGTACCAGCTACTTGGAAGGCTGAGGCGGAAGGATCGCCTGAGCCCAGCAGGTCGAGGCTGCAGTAGCCGTGATTATGCGACAGAGTAAGACTCCCATTCAAAAAAAAAAAAAAAAACCAGCCAGGCTATGTGGCTCAGTCTGTAATCTCGCCTCTTGGGAGGCTGAGGTGAATGGATTGCCTGAGCCCGCGGGTTCAAGACCCGCCCGGGCAAGCGAGACCTCATCTCTACAGTAAATCAAAAAATTAGCCAGGTGTGGTAGCACACGCCTGTAGTTCCAGCTACATGGAAGGCTGAGGCGGAAGGATCGCCAGAGCCCAGCAGATGGAGGCTGCGGTAGCTGGGAGCGGCCACTGCACTCCAGTCTGGGTGACAGAGTGAGACTCCGACTCAAAAAAAAAAAAGCCATGACCATGAAATGCAGCACAGAGAGGAGATGGTAAATGTAAATGAAATGAAGATACTGTTGGGCTTCCCCATGTACCCCCCATGTCTTAGTAGTATTCTGGAAGAAAAGATTAAGGAAAATAAAGGCAAGGAAATTGTCAAAGAAATAATAAATGAAAATGATGAAACTCCTTACAATGAAAAGCCTCAAAAAATTCCAAACAGCAAATACTTTTTTTAAAAAACCACATTGTAAAATTTTAGACGCTTCCAGAAAAAAAGTGTATCCTCTATAAAAAATGTAGAAGCTACCAGAAAGAAAATATATCCTCTATAAAAGAGAAACAATCGGGTTAACACTAGCAACAATTGGCATAGGAAACAGATAGATGTTATTAATAGATTAATAACATAAAAAATTCTATATTCAGCAAAACTATATTTCAAGAATATAGACAAAGAATGCTATATGTGGACAAAGACAGAATTTATTCAGCAAGAAAAACAGTGAACAAGGAAGGAGGGTTAAGAAAAATCAATTGTACAAAGAATTTAAAAATCCAAACATTTTTAACTTTTTTTTTTTGTATAGCTAATAAATGCATGTGGTAGAAAATTCAAATATATCAGGTATGCACAGTGAAAAGTAAATCTCCCTTTCTAATCAAACTCCTAGTTTTCATTTCCCCTTTTCAGAGGCAACCACTATTACTAATATCCGTCCAGCATTACTTCATATATGTCAATAGCATTTTGACAGTTTTTATCAACTGTGGATGTGGTAGTATTAAAAGCAAGTAATTCATAAAATATTAGACAATAAGAAGAAATACAGGTGTGAGGAAGAGTACAAGGAAATTAAAACATTTTAAGGTCCTTTTATTTGAGAGGAAACTGCAGTTAAGTTAAATAGACATATTAGAAAGTTAAAGATGACTTCCACTTCTGGCAAAGATAGAGTAACACAAACTAGATTTACTTTCCTTCTTGTATCAGCTAAGAACTTAGACAAAACATATGAAGCCGTGGCTCTCAAGACATTGAATATCAGGTAGTGAAGGACAGTGATCCTTGAGAGATAGGAAACAAATGAAATGAGCCCAATGTCTGCCCCAGCTCACTTTCTAGCAAAAGTTCCCACATTGTAGCACAAGGAGGGGGAACCAAGCAGAGCTGTCTAATCTTCCTGAGTTGAGGGAATGGAATTAGGAGTTCAGGGAAGCCAAATAGTTAGAATTCACACAGCAGAGTACCAGAAAGGAAAGTCTTTGAAAAACCAGAGTCTTTCTGCAGTATTAATTGAGTACTGATCAGCACATGTAGTTGAGGAAAGTAGCCATGCTCAGGAAAAGAACCACCCAGAAGGATCTAAGAAAATAATACTTGGGTTCACATGGACCAGGATGGTCTCTGTTCCTAATATCAGCAGTTTATATTCTAATAAAGGTTGTTATTTGTTAGAAAAAACTATTCCTTGACTAACTGCTGTTCTGATTCCACATAACCTTAAAAGCAGGACCCAAAAAGATCAAAGTGTTTCCAGGTAACTTAACCACATTCCAGAACAAAATTCAAGAATGTTTTTAGAAATCAAAAAATATCTAGCATCTGACGAGGTCAAAATTTACAATGTCTGGCATCTGAGAAAATAGGAAGATATAATTCAACAAGAAGAAGAATCAGTACACACCCAGAAATGACATAGATGATAGAATTAATGACAAGAATATTAAGACAATTACTAAAATTATATTCTGTATATTCAAGAAGATGGAGAGAAGATTGAGTATATTGAGTAGAGACATGGAAGATATATTTTGGGGAGTTTTTTGTTTTTAATAGATTAGAAATACATAGAGAGGAAGATATGTTTTTTGAAAATTAAAATTCTGGAGATCAAAACTACAATGTGATTTGAAAAATACACTGTGAGATTAACAGCAGATTAGATATTGCAAGACAAAAGATTAGCGGACATAGCAGTAGAAACTATTCAATGTGTAACAGAAAAAAAGCCTACAATAGCAGATTATTCGCAACTTTAGATGGCCAAATATACATTTAACTGGAGTCCTGCATTAGAGATAAGAGAAAAGATAAGAGAGAAAAAATATTTGAGGCTTATGCAACCACGCCTGGCTAATTTTTTGATTTACGGTAGAGATGAGGTCTCGTCATGTTGCCCAAGCTGGTCTCAAGCCCACAGACGCAGGCAATTCTCTCGCCTTGGCCTCCCAAGTACTGGGGTTATAGGCGTGAGTCACTGCGCCCAGCCTTCTACAAAAAGTTTTTTAAAAATTTGTCTGGTGTGGTGGTGCATGTCTGTGGTTCCAGCTACTTGGAAGACTGTGGTGGAAGGATCACCTGAACCCAGCAAGTCGACTCTGTGGTGGCCATGAGTGTATCACTACACTCCAGCTGGGGCAACAGTGAGATTCCGACTCAAAAAAAGTAGAGTGTTTTCTCTAATGATCACAGAAAAGGAATTCAGAGAATTTGAAACCTGAAAAAGACTCAGTGCTCCATGCTGGCTTTGAATATGAAGGGGGCTATATGCCAAGGAATGCAGGTGACCTCTAGAAAGAGTAGCCAGCAAAGAAACCAGATCCCAGTTTTCCAAGCACAGGGAACTGAATTTTGCCAACTATTGTAATGAGATTGACAGTGAATTCTTTCCCAGAGCCTCCAGATAAGATCTCATCCCAGCTGATTATCTTATCCCAGATAAGATCTCATCACACCTTGATTTCAGCCTGTGGAACCCTAAGTAAAGATTACACTTGAGCCTGTCTAGGCTCCCGGCCTATTTTTTGTGAGATAAGAAATAGATATTATAAGCTACCAGTAAACTGTGGTAATTTGTTATGTAGCTATAGAACTAGTAGTATTTATTTTGGTACCTAGAAGTGGGGTATGGTTATAAAAAATACCTAGAACTGTGGAAATAGCTTTGGCACTGAGTAATAATCAGAGACCTGGAAGACATTTGAGGAGAATTTTGAGGGGCATGATTTAGAAAACCTAAATGGACTTGGATGGCATGTTAATAGAAATATGGACATTGAGAACACTGCCAGTGAATGCTCAAAGTGAGGCATGTGTTGTTGGAAACTGGAGGAAGGGTGTCATTTAGTGGCAGAAAGCATAAGGAGCATTGTCTTCTACACCAAAGATAAGGATGGCAGTAGATTTCTCTTTGTAAACAGTACAAGCTAGTAGAGAGTGAAAATATTTTTCAGAACCAAAGTAAAATAAACACTTTTTTAGTCATAGAAAAGATATAAGAATTTATCACCAAAAAACCAGTACTATAAGAAATGTTAAAAGAAGTCCTTAAAATAGAAGGGGAATGATACCAGATGGAAACCTCTATCTGTGTAACAGAATGAACACCAGAAATGGTAACACGGGTAAATATAAAGATGTTTTTTCTAATTACTTAAATATCTTTAAAAGATAACTGACCATCTAAAGTAAAAATATGAAAACATAGAAGTAAAATGTATGACAAAAATAGCACCAGAGCTGGG